GCGGAAACCACTTCTCCATTTATGCGTGTCATCCTTGCGCAGGCAGGGGCCATGCTAATCTTTTTTCTCTGTATCGTTCCAATTTTAAGGGATGCGCCGAAGGACTATTGGCAGAAGCCCGAGACGACTCCTCCTTTCTTTTTTTTCCTTTTCTTTTCTTTGCATTGGTTCCCCTCAGAAGGCCCCTACCCACCCTTCCTCTCGTCAGTGTCCCCTGCGTACCCCCAACCCCCCCTATCCTACCCTTGTGTTACCTACCTGAGATCACCACCCACAGCCAGAATGGCAGGATTCAATCTTCAGGACGAAAACAGACCCTCCTGGCCGGTGGTACAAACCAGAAAGAGAGTTGGCACACAAAAGTAACAGAAGGATTGTCCCGGCCATTGTAGCACGTGTGTCGCCCAGGATGTAAGGGGCATGCTGACTCTACGTCATCCTCACCTTCCACCGGATTATCACCAGCAGTCTCTCTAGAGTTCCATAATGGCAACTAGAAAAGAGGGTTGCACTAGACACAAGGCTTGTTCACAAGGTGGAGGAATGGGAAATGGCAGCAGAAGCCCGCCAGGACAGACTTCGCTTCCTGAAATTCGAGGACAGCTTTGAATGGCCAGTAGACTGGACAGGAATGGAGGTAAGGGTTGTTGAAATGGTCCGAGCCGGAAGAGTTACATTGGCTACCAATGCACGACTTAGTACCCGGTCACAGAATTAAAACTAGACCTGGTGAGCATTAGTTGGTGGATAACCTGGTAAGCGTTAGTTGGTGGATAAGCACGGGAAATAATTTACACTGGATCAGTACACAGCAAAAACAGGTCTCAGGCAAACTCAAGCCAGAAAGCACACTACACGGACAGAGTTGGCACTGCAACGACTTGGAACTACAACTACTCCGAGACAACCTGTCGAAATCTCTCGATACTGGGCACAACTGCATCTACTACCTTCTCAGAAACAAGCTAGTCTACTATGGCTACAGATGTTGCAAGTCGTACCCTCTGCGGTCTGGCTGTTGAAGAAACAGGTTGCAGTTCAGTCCAAGCGTACTCGCTGTAACTGGGCGTGGGAATCTACGGATCATTTGTGGATCACACGTCCCCTCTCCGCCGGCATTTGGGGCTGGTGGCAAGCCAACTGGAAAAACATCGCAGACGCAAAGTTCAAATGGAATGAGCAATGGATTCTCCTTGGCCTACTCCCAGCAGATTACAGCACCACTGATGGGCTGGGCTATACTGCTCAGGTCATTAGAGCCATCATCTACTGGGAGATATGGCTAAGCAGGCATGCAGCAGTTTTTAGGGGTGAGAAACCAGCCTTCCTCGCCCTAAAAGCTGCTATTCTCTTGAGCATACGCAGAGCTATTTGGGCGGATTGGCACCGGAAAGTCCTCCAAGCGACATCGAGTGACAATGGCAAACTTCGGTTCACTGACAGAAAGACGTGGTGTATCAACAACTTCTTTGCGAGCATCAATGATCAAGGTAAGTTAAAGTTGGCTACGTGGCTTTGGCCCGAGCCCCAGGTCACCCCACCACAGGTGGTCAGTGGGTAGACTGTATTGGCAGTTGGCTACGTGGCTTTGGCCCGAGCCCCAGGCTACGTGGCTTCTTTCCAGCCTTGTGTTGTAAATTGATCAGGCAGCGACTGCTGAGAGGGTTGGAAGCAGCTGAAATTGGCAGTTGGCAGCTTTTAATGGGACGCTGGACCCGTTTTCCAGCAAATTGACAGATCAGAGGTTCCTGTTACACCGGGTAGAATTGGGAGGTCCCCGGCCTCGATTCAATTTGTTTGAAATAAAGAGAATTGCAAGGAACATGAATATGGACGAAGCACAGAAATCCAGATTGCAAAATCACACTGAAGTCCATGTAGTCAAAGCCAGAGCAGATAGCACAATGGAACCGAGTAACCATCCATTTGAGAATGATACAGAAGAATCGTGAGTCAATGTCCAAGCCCAACAGGGCAACACCAACAGCATAACCCAATGTAGCTCTCTCTTGTGAATGGCGTGTGACGCGCAACCTCACACCCTGTGCTGTCTTTCGTTCGGAGTGTTAGGCGTGCGGGAAAAGGCCCAGAAAAACAGCAAGATGGGGTGTGCCAAGGATTTTTGGGAAATTGAGTGTGGGGACACAGATGGAACTGAAATCCCCCGTGTTGGTCCAATGAAGCAAGTCGATTGCTTTCGCGTGTCGCGGAATGCGCACGCGGGCACGGCGCGAAAAGAGAAAAATCCAAATTCAATCCAAAAAGTATTGTCGGGCTTCCCACCGGGCTACAGCCCGTCGTTTAGAACGGAAAGGCTTTGGCACGCTCCGCGTGTCTTGTTTTCGTATCAAATCTCGTCGCCGTTCGATGGTGAGTTCCGAGTCCGACGTGGATGGTCTCAGCCGCGTGGCTCTTTCTTTATGCTCGTCTTCACTCCGCACACGGTAGTGGAAACCCCTGGATTCGTA